ATTGGGAGTAAATCAGAAATTACTACTTTTAAGGTTTTATTTTTTAATCTTCTAACCTAACCTCTTAAATTTGCTCTGTACTGCTTTAATCTTTTCCCTAAAAGTGTCATTCCTGCCAATGTGTAGTATAATTTCTGGCTTGTCAATCTAACCGTTAACAATATGCTTGAAACAAATAGAAATGTCCTTAATCCTAGAACCAGGAAAGCAATAAACCATCCTAAATTTACACTCACTGCCACAGAATCTCCTGTCAATGCCCCTGACAGGACAGTCCCCTATAACAATAATTTTATTAAATCTTGTCAAACACTGCCTAACATAAGAATCATTCCAAGTGTCCAATAACTGAGTGGCCCTTCCATTTTCCTCGGAGAGACTATCCCCTTCGATTGTTCCAAAAACTGAATATCTATTTGATAAAAGAATAGCCACTGGAGACTTTTAAACTACCTTTTTACCTTTCCTGATAGTCACCCATCTATCTGACTGATCCTGCTGGGTAATAACTTTTCAAAATCTACTAGCCATCTCACTCTGTACCTTATATATGGCCTTAATAACATTAAGCCTAAAAAAAAGTTTCAATAACACCTTATATATAAACTACCTTTCATTACCCACAGAAGATAATGTTAAAATGGAAAAAATTAAAAATATATATATCAAATGTATACAAATTAAATAAAATCAACCACTTAGCTGATTAACTGAATGAAAATGATTCCTCTTCAATAAATTCCTCAAAGAAAATAAAATCTTCTCCAGAGCTGATCACGTGTAGAACTCTCCGAAATGAAAACCAACTCCTTATTTTAAAAAAAACTGTTCGTTTTTTTCAAAACAAAACCTTTGCAATGTAAAAAAAAGCCTCTAAGACACATATAGACTTTTTAAATTTCTGAATTAAGAATTGAAAAAAAATTCGGCTGTTTACTGTAGACCCTTTTAAAAAAAAACGTTTAAAAAAAATCCATTTGAAAAAAAATTGCGATTTTGTTTGGTTTTCTCTTTTTTTGAATGCTAATAAAATAAAATGAAGCAAGTATTACATTAGTAAACCATGTATATCAATTTTCTCTCTTATTACATTCAAACAGTTGAATTCACATTGGGATCAGATATTGGAATTTCTGATAAACCCTAAGTTAGTGATGGATGTTAAATCAATTCTTCCTGGTTGATGAGATGCTTTGATAAATGTATTGAGCGGTGATGATATTTCACTAAAATATTTTGAGAGTTAAAATAACAACAGAAAACAAAGTGAGATATTATCAAGAAAGTTTTTATTCATATTACATTTTCCAAACTTTTATCTAAATATCTTTTAATATTATTAAAATAATCTCCAAAACAAGATGATGGTTCAAAAACAAAACTTTAATGATGAATTTAGTAAACAAAAGACAAAGTTTCAGCCTATAAAATCCTACAGTAACTAGTTCATGTCATACAAGAGATTGGCATGCCATACTAAAAAATGGCTGCTATTTTTAACCAGGAGGACTCCCTGATTAGCTAGGACTTGCATAGTTAGTCATGATATTCCAATAAAACTGTCGATGTTTTAAAATCTCATAATTAAAGAGCAGATTCAAAACAAATACATTTGATTTATAGATAGTTGTGTTAGTGGCACTTAGCCAGTAAGAGTAAAATTAGCGCAATATTTAGAAAAAATCCTTGTATGGGATTATGAATCTTTTCAAAGACTCCAAAATAACTTGAGCTCCTCTCTATATTAATGAGGTGTTTAATGTTAATCTTTGGCATGAGATTAGTTGCAACAAAAACTTCAACAATTGATGAACTATTAACTCTGGAATTTTATGACATTACTTTTGAAGAATTTGTCTACGAGTTAGATTTAAAATTGTAGAAAATACCTGGCTTTGTAGAAAAAATGATGGAAAAAGAACACATCAATGCCATTAAAAGATAACTTTAAAAAAACAAATTGTACTTCAGTCACAGAATTCATAAAACAGGACTAAATTTTCAATTATGTTTTGAATGTAGAAATTCAAAAATTGTTAGAAGTTGAAAGTAATTGGACATCCCTTCTTTCGTCAGAGGGCGACATTTTGAATTTTAGAGTTACATAGTTTTCAAAATCATTTCCAATCCTGTGCCCAAATCCTGGTAGCTTTCAGTTCAGCTAAGTAAAGCTCATTACAGTAATAAAGCCTGCTACTCCAAAGGATAAAGCTTCTAACTAACCCTTTGTAGTGACACAAGTCATTGCACAAAGCATATCTTTAGCCCTGCCTATTCCTGGCTCCTCATGAAACTAAAATGTATGGCAGTGAGATCTAATATGAGTAGAGAATTGTTTTGTAAGTATTATTAAACAATCAATTTCACCACACTCAATGGGTGTAATATCGATAATTCATTTCCTCAAATCAGTCTTACGCATATACATCAGATTTCATACAAAAAGAGAAATTGCTGGAAAAACTCAGCAGGTCTGGCAGTATCTGTGGAGAGAAATCAGAGTTAATGTTTCAGGTCTTACGTCAGAACTTTCTGTTCTCTTCAGTTCTGAAGAAGGGTCACTGGACCTAAAATGTTAACTCTGATTTCTCTCCACAGATGCTGCCAGACCTGCTCAGTTTTTCCAGCAATTTCTGTTTTTGTTTCTGATCTCCAGCGTCCACAGTCCTTTTGGTTCTTCAGCAGATTTCAAATGCAGTTCTCACCTCGAAAGACTATAGAGCAGTTTGGTTGCAATCAGCTCATGCTCCTCTACTGGAAAGAAGTTACATGGATTTACAGTAGTGCAAAACAAGTGTTGAAACAAATCTCCAGGGAATTTCAGATAGATACACAATGTATATCATGGGATGTGTGACCTACAGCCCAATCTTGTCACAGATCAAAAACATGTACCATCAATTTCCTTTTGTAATTTTTAGGGCAGTTAAGCTTTTTATGTTTTACAGAATGATCTTTGGCCTCTTTGCACAATTTCAAATGCCAGCAATTATTTAACCATTCATTTTCAGGTTACTAGATGCTACTCCCAGCTCCAGGCCTAATTCCCATTTCCACTTTGGTCTTGAACAATCCCTCATTAGTTTTGTGTTCTGCTGGTCTGCTGCCAATAGGCACAGAGTCACACTGCCCATAAAACTCCTATTTTTAATTATCATCCGGATATGGTCACAAAAGACCTATCTACGTTATCAGTGTCACGAAGAAACTCCTTATCTGTCCCACTGAATTACCTAAGATGTCTGTAGGATTGAATGCATTGATTCATTCATTAATTCACTGAAACACTAAATTCATTTCTGCTTTTTTTTTTGCAAGGTTGGTACATGATTCTCATGATAAAAACAAAGTCCATCCTCTTGTTTCTAAGTTATCTATTTAGAAAGTGAATATGTTACCATTTCAGATCACAACTGCTCTTTTCAGCTCTGGTGCAGAAATCACGTAAACGAGAATGAATGGAACCAGAATGTTTCCCTGAGACTTAACAAGAGGTTTAACTCTTTCTAAAACCTTCCTGCACAAAATTAAGTTGGGCATCATTTAGAATATTAGCGTGCAGGCTTCAGATTTTGAAGGTATTACCCTCCTGAGGGATCCCAGCAAAAAGACCAAAATGTAATATGAAAAGACTATTAATCACTAACTGTGTTTTTAAAAAATCTTGCATATATTTGCATTATCTCAACCTACTGCTGTACTGGAAATCAGAAAAAAAATTAACCCTAGACAACAAGGTTCAGGGCTGGATGAACACAGCAGGCCAAGCAGCATCATAGGAGCAGAGAGGCTGACGTTTCGGGCCTAGACCCTTCATCAGAAAAGGGGGAGGGGAAGGGGGTTTTGCAATAAATAGGGAGAGAGTGGGAGGCAGATAGAAGAGGGATAGAGGAGAGGAAACAAACAGGTCGAAGAGGCGGGGATGGAGCCAGTAAAGGTGAGTGTAGGTAGGGAGTTAGGAAGGGGATAGGTCAGTCCAGGGAGGATGGACAGGTCAAGGGAGCGGGATGAGGTTGGTCGGTAGGAGATGGAGGTGCGGCTTGAGGTGGGAGGAGGGGTGGGAGGAAGAACAGGTTAGGGAGGCAGGGACGAGCTGGACTGGTTTTGGGATGCGGTAGGGGGAGGGGAGATTTTGAAACTTGTGAAATCCTACAGACAAAGGGGGTAGCCATGGGTACCCGCATGGGCCCAAGCTACGCCTGCCTCTTTGTAGGTTACGTGGAACAATCCCTATTCCGTACCTACAACGGCCCTAAACCCCACCTCTTCCTCCGTTACATTGATGACTGTATCGGCGCCGCCTCGTGCTCCCACGAGGAGCTCGAACAGTTCATACACTTCACTAACACCTTCCA